CTAAGAAAACCCCTAAATACTTTAGACATAAAATAAAATTCCATTATCAAAAACTAGTTTAAGATAGAAATCTATACTCCTTAATGATTGCCAGAATTGCCCAGCATAGCTTCCATAAAATAGAGAATTGTTTAGAAAATACAATCTCCAAAATGTGTGCAAGTACTGCAAATTGGACAGACCAGAGCAGGGCAATGCCCTCAAAACCAAGTCCTCCTTCAGCACCTTGCCCAGGTTAGAAATCCCCCTCTTCAGCCTTGTGCTTTGCATATTTCCTGCAGTGCGCAGCCATTCTTACTGCACCATTTATGTCCTGATGTATCGTATGAGTTAGGCAAGCACTTCTTTTTAGCTGTAAACGCTTCACATGATTCGGTCCCCATGAGAGGCTGTGGGAGCTTAGATGAGCCTGGAGCTTTTCAGGAACTGAATGAGAACTCTGTACACAAACGTGTACTGGCAGAGGGTCTGCACCAGCATCATTCTCTGCTGCCTCAGCATGTCCAGCACTCTGGGGATGTCCAATACCTAAGGTGAGAGAAATGGTGATGAAGGTCATGCATTCTCCTGGGGAAAGAAAGGATGGGGGTCAGCTGGCACCCTAGCAGCAATCTGGTTAGGAAGTGGACAGTCTCTTTTCTACTCAGCATCTTCTATAAATAACCCACGATCACCTATTTCTAATTAGTTTCAACTACGAATAGAATGTCCATGCAATCCGCCTCTTCAACATTCCCTCAGTGTAGCTCACTGACTTGGTCTGGTTGGACATAAATTACTGTATCTCATGCAATACCAAGACTCAACAAAAACAATGTGCTAAGCACTATCAGTATCTAGCTCAACATTTCCCACACAGGGCTCTGTGGGAAAGGTTCATAGGTGTTCCAGGAAAAAGGGATTTTTTGGGGGGTTTTTTTTGTCCTTTTTGAGCAGGAAAAAGGGTTTTGAGATCAAATTTGAAAAACACTGTATAAAACAAAATTAAACAGCTTTATTTATTGTATGACTTCTCATAGTCTTTAATATGCTA